AGAGAGAGAGAGAGAGAGAGAGAGAGAGGTATGCAAATGAGTCACAAAATGAAAGAGGCCAACCTTGTTGGGTATAGTAGCATAAGATCATGTAAGATTGAGGATTACATAAAGAGCCTAATTGAGTACGGAAGACTGGTCTCAATCTTGAGGGGGACGATGCTCACATTTACTGCAAGAGAGCACCAGAAGCGAAAAACTTTTTCCTTCATTTTTGCGATATAGTGCAACCTTGCCTGTTCAGGAAATACAGCACAAAACAGTCAGTTGCTTGTTAAGTTGTCACAGACAGCCTTCCGTTCCTATTTGATGTACAACCCTAGGCTACCAGAGTGGCCCGGGTCCACTTGCCCGGCCGGGCCAAAAAGGAATAAAAAAAATATAAAAATATAAAATATTTTTTAATTTAAATTTTTATTTTAAATTTGGTACAGAATTTCGATGTGAACCTGATGCAAAAGTTGTTCAATTTATTTTTCTGCATATAATAGTTTTTTTCCGGTTTTTTTTTTTTTTTTTTTTTTTTTTGGCCGGGACCTTCCCTGGTCCTTGCACGGCTGGGCCGCCCAGGAGAGTAGGGTGACCCGGGCGGCCCGGCTGGTAGCCTAGGTACAACCACTACAAAAGACACAAAGACATATCCATCCAATTGGCAACTCTTACTCAGACGAGCCCCTCTTCCCCTCTTGTGCACAAAAATCCCATCGTAGCCTTTCTTAGAAAACCACCATACAACCCATTCAATCACATACATGATCGTCGCATGAGGAGGGCGACTGAACATTTGAGGCATACCAAACGAAGCCCCCACGATTTTCACATTCCTCCTACATTTTCCCAAAGTGTTGTTGATTCGCTTCAATCTATTCTTCATATCGGACACAAATCTCAAGTTAAAGTGCACAGACTCAGGTAAGGAGAACAACAGCCCATTGATGCCCGTGACAACCATCTTACATGCTTTCACTGACGGTTCGTCAAAAGTAGGGCAAATAGGGCGATATTTTGCACTATCTTTGTGTTTAGGCAAGGGATATGCCCCACCTAATTTTCACTTTGAGTTCCACTTTCCATGACACGTCAGTTGTCTCTTCTCATACTTGGACTTTGCAGAAGCAAGTAGTTGTTCTTCGTCAGCTAGACACAATCAATACCCCTTGCTCAAGAGAAAGGTCTCTTCCATGCCCCTATCGTACAACTGTGGGCATAGTACCAGTGTGTCACCCCGGTTACTATCCAGGGGGGCTAAGACAAGTCCATTCAGCCTTTCATTCACCCTCAATACTTCCTCCATCCCATCTTCACAGCACTCGTTTCTTCTTTTCACAAAGCAACCTTCGGCATCTTCTGACAATTTCATGTCACCTCCCTAGGTCCAAAAGGCTTTGTTCAGCTCCCTCCCCAACAAAACATATGTATGGTCATCATCATATCTGGGTACATTCTTCACATTCCTTACTATCGACGGAATCCCCTCAAGCTCGCCTATCCGGAAATGCACGTGCCCATCCTTCTTAGGGTAGGGCAGACCAGCACATAAGCAGCTGGATGCGCGAATCGACGCATAGTGTTGATGGTTGTGAAGAATCTTGTCCACATTCGGGCCCCTCTTCCAAACAACCCGTCCACGGCGCTTTACGATTTCCTTCAATGGGGCCTCCATCTTCAAGCCACTAACCTTCTTCCTTACGACCCTCATCACCTCACTCTTCTTTATTCTCTCGTCATACTGCGTCTTCACTATGATCCTAGTCCTCGCATTGAATCCAAACTTATCCCGTGCGACCCTGGAAATCATACAACGTGCCTTTGATCGACTTCATTTCATAGTGAAGGTCTTAACGGCACTGTAGTACGTGACTAATTCCGTCAAAGTCTTAGCATGGAGTTCCTTCTGCTTTTGCTGATTCCTAAACATCCTCACCATATCCTCCTTCAGGGCCAGCAGCGCCAGAGAGGCTTCAGTTACTTTACGGAGTATGACGAAACCCTCAGTCGCAAAACATTTTTTACATCTCCTAAGCGGTCTCATGCCACGTCCAAATTTTACACTGGTCTCACCAAACAATCGCCTCTTCAATTTCCATCCATCTGTCCATGTCGCCCCACCATTACTCCAAACTTTCACATCCCCTTTTCTTCACATCAGGCTACGAAGCAGTTCCACAGTCCTAACAGTACTACAATCTGTTCCATCCAATCTCAGGTCCAACAATTTCCCATAGTCATACTTCAAGTCCTTAGTCCTGCTACCACCATGGACCGACCATTACCTCCTCTGTTTCTTCCCCGGTCAGTGCTTTGATTTCTTTGTGCCCTTACTCAATATTACCGATCGGACATTCAACGACGGTGACCAATGCTTAATCGAAGCACATTTGACCGACTCCAATTCAGCCCTATCTAAACTTGTGAATATTGGTAAAGCAACACACTTATGCACCCCGACTTTACCAAGCCAGTTATATAATGTCCTCCCTCATTTCCCCGGTCGACGACCTTGACAGTAGTGTTCCCGCCATCTGGCCCAAAGTCCACGTTTGGTCATGCCAATATACCCTTGCTTATGCCAAGGAGAAAGCAGGGCATATACACAACTTCCAGGAGCGGACAAGTCGAAGGTCCCTTTATCCAATCCATCCCTCCAATAATTCACAAATTTCTCTCCCCACTTAACCCCACCACTCAGTATCCATCCTATCGTGGCAGCTCTGAATTTTCTCTCGTTTGTCTTACACTTACCATGGCTCAACAATCTTCGTTCACTCAATAGTTCGGCTCTGATCTGGAAGTCGTCGCAACGACAAGCTCCTCATTCTAAATCATCTTCGGTAAAGGATTCGTCAGAATCCGAGATTGCCGAATTAGCCTCCCCCTTGATAACCACACCTTTACTTGCTCTTGTTGCGACACTCGGCGTCGAAGGTGGCAGAATCGTCGAGGGATCATATGCTACTGCCGACCTTCGTGTGATCAAACATTTGATAGCAAGGTCTCGATTGCCATAAGCTACTTTCTCCCGACGACATGTTTCCTTCAATTCTTCAATAGTCACGGCGTCGTAAAAGTCATGGCACTCCTGCTCGGATTTCTCCTTACGTCCTAGTCCACATGAGGCCATGATGTGCTTGAGTGACAAGTCGATCCTCGACGGCGCACTCGACATCCCAGCCTCCTTTGTCAGGTCGCCTTTCAGTAATTCAATCCGCGCTTTCGCTTCATTCGAGAGCCTCGTGCTCGATTGCTTCTCACGAGTGACAATAGGTGGACTATTTCCCACCGGTAAATCTGGACCGCGCTTCCTCTTCTCTAGTAAATCCAGCGTGGCAGCTTGTTTCCGAAGTGCTACCAACTCTTCATCCTCCATCTCTTCGATCCCGATCGTCCGTTGCGCTATACTTCTTCGAAGTCGTTCTTTTTCTTCGTTGATCCCATCATTCCGACTAAACGACTTTGCTGGTCTCTTCCCTTTACATTCATCTCGTTCCAAGTCTCCTTCCTGTTCCTTTCTGAACTCACTTCGTAAGATCCACATCAGTCTTATGTCTCGGTCTTCTTCGTGTCGCAGCCTCTGCTCCTCCCTAAGAGCCCTCCTAGATTCTTTCACACGACGAGCTTCCTCCTCTAGTCTCCTTCTTTCCTCTTCTCTTTCACGTTCCACTCTTTCTCTATGTTTCTCCGCCATTTGTACGAAATACTCACACATGAGCGCATTTGTATCGTCCGCACCATCACTTCGTTCACCTCCACTGTCGGTTGAAGGACTCCGACGAGTCATCGGGTTGTCACCACCTGACGTCCACCTTCCAGTACGTGTTTGTCCTGTCGGCAGAGCGGTGGGAACGAAGGTCCTTCCTTGTGCCTTCGCCTTCCAGTAGTCCGCACAATCGTGGATGAAGTGTCCTCCCTCGCCTCATTTGTAACACGTCCGGCCGTCTGGTGGCAAACCACCTCCGCCATCTTTGCCCCTGCTCGCGTCACCTTCTTCACTTGTCTTTTTTTTTTTTTTTTTTTTTTTTTTTTTTTTTTTTGAATCGGCCCCATGGGACAGCGTGAGATGCTGGTAGGAGCAGTCGCCTCAAGCTATCCCGGGGTGGCTCCATCTATTGGTGGGGAGCAGCGCCTGTTGAGAAGCGGGCTCAGCGTCCCTTGTTACAATTATTCAATATAGCATCCACATCAAAGCCAGTTGGACCCTGTAGGGGGAGTATCTATGATGTCCAACCACAGGCTGCTACTGATGTGCATACTGGGATGCCTAACATTGTTGTCCGACCTTTCCCCCTTTATCTTATTGACGGAAACTGGTCATCTTCATTTTTGTAGCAAAAAATCCCGCAGCTCCTAACCTCGAGACCTTTGACCCCACAGGCTCATAGACTTGAAAGCCTCCTTGTGGTCCGCTTTTCGTCCATGGCACCGTCTGCTAGGTTGGTCCTAGGAGTATGTCCTGCTTGAGTGCTTGTTGTTGTCGTCGAGGATGTGGCCTGTGGGTGTCATCCGCTGCCCAGTGAATATCTGAATCCTTCTGTTCGCTGGCTTCTTGGCAAGTAGGCCTGCAGGACTGCCGCGCCCGTTTGTAGACTTCATCCTGTCGTTCCTGTTTGAGGCAAGGGAAATGGGGCGAGGGGGGTGGACTGGGGAGGAAGGGAAGGTGCATGTTGTACTTGAGAGAGGGGTGTGGTGGTGGCGACTTCGGCACGAGGATGAAGTTAGTCTGCATGAATGGGATTTGGAACTCCTGAAGGGGTTTCCTGCTCCATGCTTGTTCGGTGCACCTCCAGGGCTTCCAGGTGATATTCAGTTCGGCATCCACCTCACTGAACCGCTTGAGCAGGTCCTGCCATGCCTGCAAGTAATTATCCCTGATGGTCAGTCTGGCCTGCGACTCTTTCTCACTTCTGCATTGATGTTTCGTGGCCTTCCAGGCTTCATGTGTCAGAGTTCTAATCACCTCTTCCAATGCTTGTTGGGCCTGCTGCAATCCGAACCGGTGGTCCTTCCTTTCGAAGGAGCACCTTGCATGCCAGGCCAGCATTAGCACATGGAGCCTTGTGTATGAGAATAGGTTGACTGCAAACGCAGGCCAATGTTTTAGGATGAGATCTTTCCTGCCCAACAGTAGAAGCCCCATATCCCAGGGGACGTGGTAGGTGGTGAGGGAGTGGAAGGCTGCATCCCACCACCGCCAAATCTGGGCAACCATTGGGCATGCCAAGAGGCAATGTTCAAGTGTCGCCCGGGCCGGGGTTGACACACTTCCACAATAGGAACAGATGGGGGATAGTAGCCCTTTCTGTTCCAAGCTGGTTTTGGACAACAACCAATCCGGCGTGGGGAGGCATCGATGCAGGATCTGCCACTGTAACGATCTAAGGTTGGTGGACATGATCTTAGAATACATGTGCCAGGGCAGGTTCTGAACTTGGGACGGGTCAATGGGCGAGTCCCTGGTCCATCTTGCAGTGATGACAGGCTCCATCGGCTGTTGTGGTGTCGATTGTCTGTAGCCCCCTTTGACCGTGTAGTCCCAAATGTGCATCGGTTTCCCGTTCGCCCATTCCCACTCATCAGGGTCAAAAGGTAGGGCTGCTATCGGAGTCGAGGACTCGTAGGCGAAAAACCCTTGTCTATGGTCACCCAGCACTCTTATGTGCATAAGGATCTCCCAGTTTTCTTCACAGTCAAGTGCTTCATTCCTTGCAATCTGTGACATCCTCGCTCCTGGCAACCTTGGCTCGTGAGCCTCCAACATGCATGTTCCTTGATTGTTTGCCTCCACTCTGTAGACCACAAGTGGCAATGGCAGATCTGCACGTTTGATTACCCAATCTCCTTGCTGTACAGATGGCCCTCTTTTCAGGGCAAGTTGTCAGGCCAACGGAATGGCCTCCCGCAGCATTCCCAGTTTGGCAGTCATGTGTTTGATGAATTTCAGTTTTCGTTGTAATTGGTCCGGTGTGATCCAGTCCCCTGTTTCGACGTCCCACAGGCTGCCTATAGTGTATATGCCTCGTTTGACCAAATTGAGCCACTGAGAGTTGGCAGTGAGAGTGAACGGGCTCCCATTAGCGTCTACAATGTGGAGATTTCCAAAGAGAGGTTGTCGCCATATGTCTTGCCACCTGCTGGGGGCCCGTTTCTGTTTTGGTCCTGTGCTTCTCCAGAGTTTGCGCATTCACGGCCACAGTGGATCTTTTGATATATCCAGTTTTGTGGCCTGCGCCTCATTCTGTGGCGGAACGCTGCTGGTGTGAAGGAGTCGATATGGACCAATGGGCATTGGTTAGCCATTGGAGAGGGTGGACCCTGCTTTCAACACGGGACTCCGGGGCCAAGTTTGCGATCTGCAAACAAGCCAGCGACGCCCACGGGATGTTGTCCCCAACTAGAAGTCTGACCAGCACTTTAAAGATGAGGGCCTCGCTCTCTCTCTCCAGGTCAAGTATCCCCAGCCCCCCTTTGGATATCGGCTCTGTCAGTATATCCCATCTCACTCGGGTCAGGGCTCCTTGGGTTTTCGCACTATTTTTCCATAGAAAGGTCGTCAGAGCACACCTGAGTCTGACGTATTGCTTTTGGTTTAGGGGCCACACAGCAAGCTTATACCAGATCGGTGCAAGGACAACATTATTAATTGCCAACGCCCGTCCCACAAGGGACGTGTGCAGGTTCTCCCACCTACCCAACCTTTCAATCGCAAGGTTGACCAGGTTTTCTCTGTGGTCCGGCGGAGGGTCCAACGCTGTTAGCTTTACACCCAAGATTCTGATTGTTGTTTCCTTTGCAGCCCATAAGATGTGTGGTTCCGGAGGGGGATTTTCATCAAGGGGTTGCAGCCACCAATCTTCAGTTTTAGCATCCCAATTCACTTTCATATCTGCAGCTAGCGAGAATTGATGTATCACATCCGTTACCGCTTGAAAGCTCTGCGCGTCTGCTCGGATCAGTACTGTAAGGTCATCTGCGAACAGGGATGTCATCGGGACCCGGTGGTCTGGCAACTCCGGGATTGGCACTTTATGGATCCGGGGATGGGCTCTAATGAGTGAGGCCAGCAAAGGTGCTATCGGGTCCCCTTGGCGCACTAATCTCTAGAGGGCAAAAAGGGATGCCAAGTGGTCGTTCAACATAATGTTGGTCGAGGCCGACCTACGGAGGAGCTGCACCCAGTGACTGAAGACGGGCCCGCAATTCATCCTTGTCAGACACATGTCCAAGAAATCCCAATCAACATGATCATAAGCTTTTTCAAAGTCAATGAAGAGCACCGCTGTCGGGACCCTTCTCTGACGACGTATTTGATCCTCTCATTGACTAGCAGCATGTTATCCTGTATGTTGCGGTTGGGTATGAAGCCTGTTTGGTCAGGATGAATGAGCAAATTCATGAGCGGTAGAAGCCTTCTGGTCAATGTTTTTGAACTTTTTGCCACAATCTTATACGGGATAGGTAGGATAGTGATCAGTCTGTAGTTTCTAATTTTTTCCTTGTCCCCATTCTTGTAAAGCAGAGTGGTGACCCCTTGTCCCATCATGTCCCCAAACGATCCTTCTTGTTGAATCACCCCAATGTAGTCCATAAGGTTTGCTTTCAGCAAGTCCCAAAATTGGATCCAAAATTTATTGGGAAAGGCGTCAAGCCCGAGGTTTTTTTCATCCTCCATTTCATCAAGGGCTTCCTTAACTTCCTCCATGGTGAGTGGGCTGTCCAATTGGGTCCTCTGGGCGGGTGTGAGGCGTGTTTGGATCGCCTGTAACAACTGTTCTCACGCTTGGCTGACCTGGTGGGGGAGGTTTGTGGGAGTTTGCGATGTGAATCGGTTTTGATAATATTTAGATGCATAGTCCACTATTGAGTAGGCATTTGCCGCCACCGGAGCGTCCGCTTCACAGGGGTGCTTGAGTCTGGGAGCCGTGTTTTTTGTCCGCGCCTTGGCTCTGTCAAAGAAGGCTTTCGCCATCGTGGCCTCAGTGTGTTGCCGCTTGACGCGAGCTTGAATCCTCCAAGCTTGTGTTTGATGGTCTATGTAGTCTTGGAGGTGATCTCTTGCTTTTTGCAGCTCGTCGAAAGATGGTCGGTGCAGCAGGCCGTTCATAAGTTGTTCGTCCCATTCTTCAAGCTCCTTCATAAGGCTCTCCAGTATAGCCCTACGGTCCCTCGCATACTGGGTTGAAAATCTCTTAAGCTCGTTCTCTGAGTTGGGTCATCCCATCGTTGAACCAAGAAACCCTATCTCCTGTGGCTGGTTTTTGTGTTTGCCAATATTGCCAAAAATCGTTTACCATTTCTTTGAATTTGGAGGGGGGGAGAAGGGAGGTATTCAGTTTGTAAAAGCCCGGGCCTCTCTGGACATGGGAGTGGAAGGACAGGTTGAGGCAGATCATCGTGTGGTCAAATGACTTGCAAGGGCTGATCGGCAAAATGTTCGCGGTGATGACCAGGCCCAATAGGTCTTTGGATATGAGAGTCTGGTCTATTCGCGAATTGGCTATGCCTTGCTGTCCCCTCGTTGACAGACATGTGTACGCCCTTTTGGTCGGGTGCAACATCCTGTATGCATCCTGTAATTATCTGTCCAACATGAGTTGGTTAAGCATAATGGTGTCTGGGCTAGCCTGATGCAGCGAGGGGTCAGCGAGACTTTGGCGTTGTGAAGATGACCTACGGTCCATGGCTGGGTCCAACATAGTGTTGAAGTCCCCGGGCATTATCATCGGGGCATCATCTGGCAGGTTTTGTTGCAGTGTAAGCCAAAGGTCTATCCTGGTGGTGGGATCATTCGGGGCATAGACACAAACCAGGTAGAGTTCCTCGTCTTGCACTGCCGCTTTTAGAAACACCCACCGCCCGTGCAACCTA